GGGCAAAACAAAGAGAACAAAATCATTTCCCTGTAGTCAAAATGGCAGAAGGAGGAATGGAAGGAGAAACTTTCAGAATGTTGTAAGCAAGAAATAAACAATTGCAGCATGATATATTAAGTGGGGAAGCTTACCGGTAACTTACAATGTGTCCTTGCTTATAAAGGTGGTATGAAGAAAAATGTTGGCATGAAGAAGAGACAGAAATACCAGACTGGCAAGTGAGTCAAGGAAAGGCTGATGGGGAGTCATTTAGCACTTCCATGACCTCCTTTCTGTGGCTGATTCTATCTAGCATTCTCCAGGGATTCTCTGACCCTGGTATAGTTTACATGTTTTACATCATGTGATTTGCCACATAAATGTCTCCAAGCATCTTTTGCTTCTATGCTTTTGCTTATTTGCTGCCTCTGTGCTGCTCTGTGGCTTCGAGAAACACCCCAAGTCAGCAACCAGTCACTTCTCCATACTTAGAAATAGGATGCGCTTCGCATCCAAACTATACTGAAACTGACATTCTTATCCTCTACTCCCTTCCACAATAGTTCTGACCATGACATTTTACAGTATCAGAAAGAAGCACGGTGTAAGAGAACAGATTCTCAATTTTGGTATTTCAGAATTTAAAGCATGTGCTGTACATAATACCCACAAGTTGCATTAATAAAAGAAGCTCTCATTATCTTTAACCCAAGTCCTCCCATCTGTTCCCTTTTATCTGTTATTCTGTGCTGTCATTTGTCTCACATGGATTTAAGTGCCTTGGGACAGAGATTTAACTTTTTTAAAGCAACTAGTAAGGGGAAGTGTGATACAGCTTCCTCTCTGCCAAACCATCCACGTGAAGGAAACCGTCAACTCTGTCCAAAGAGCTTTGTTATCTTTCTCAGTAGGTAAAGGAGGCAGCCATTTCAGAGCATGGGTAGCCAAACAACCAATGAATTAAGCTGGATGTGGATAGAGCTGGCAAAGACCAATATTATGACCACAGAAGCATTTTCCCCAGCTGCTGCTCTCTGTGCAAGAACGCAAGTTTACACCAACATTTGCTCAACGAAACATAGGCACTGTTCCCATGGAAAGGCATCAGCAGAGGTATTATGCCCTTAATGTTTTCAACCCACTATAAAAAGTGGGTACGTTGAACAGGAAAGTAACACTTTTGAGGTTGTTCCAAACTAGGGTATCTAGCTTGCTGCGCCCCTATCAAGTAAGAATTGGAATGGGACTCTTTTCTCCTCACTTCACCAAATGTAGCACCCTAGAGCAAGCTTCTTAAACTTTGCCACTCAGGACCTTGGCCCAAGAAATTTGTATGTCCCTGAGTATATAGGTATATAAAATAGGTATAGAAATCAAATGTTTACTAAGAAATAAACCAGGATTTGGAAGGCTTGCTAAACAGTCTGATTTTCCTTTTTTATGAAGTGCAGCTGAAGCATTTTCTGCAGAGTCCACTTTAAACACTGCAGAACATATTCATATAATTGTCTTATAACAACCACTAGGTGACATTCAGAAACATTTTTAGGACCCAAATATGTGGGGTCAGGACCCACAGTTTAAGAAGCAATGCCCTAGACCAGGGGTCCTTAAACTAAGGCCTGGGGGCTGGATACGGCCCTCCAAGATCATTTACCTGGCCTCACTCAGGGTCAACCTAAGTCTGAAACGACTTGAAAGCACACAACAACAACAATCCTATCTCATCAGCCAAAATCAGATCCACACTTCACATCAAAATACTAATAAGTTTATATTTGTTAAAATTGTTCTTCATTTTTATTATTGTATTGTTTTTACGTGTTTTTGCACTACAAATAAGATACATGCATTTTGCACAGGAATTCATTCATGCTTTTTTTCAAATTATAATCCGGCCCTCCAACAGTTTGATGGACTGTGATCTGGCCCTCTGTTTTAAAAGTTTGAGGACCCCTGCCCTAGGCCATCTCCCTCTGTTCCCAGCGCATCTGTTCCAGAGAGTTTCCTTGCTTTCCAGAACCTGTATTGAGTTACAAAGGGGATGCAAGTGAGGTGAGTGATTCATATTCTTGGTTTGAAAATACTCAGGTAAAAAAACCTCCAAAAAGGAAAACTTGATTTTGCTGCATGCCAAATACTACACTGATATGCAGGCATATCCTGCTGTAGACTCCTGCCTTTTTACAAAACCTCGGGGTCTCCCCAACATTTGTTGGACCTGTTTATTATTTTATATAAGGGACACTGTTTGACCATACCATTGTACATAATGGGTTGAGCATCCATGGATTTTGATATCCATGGAGGGAGGGTAGGTCCTCGGAACCAAACCCCAGTTGGTACTGAAGGCCCACTGCATCTTTATTTTATGTTTTTGTTTTGATATGTTTTAGCTGTGTTCTTTTAGTGTTTTAGCTTTTGGCTAAACATTAATATCAACCAGTCAAATATATCAAGAGTGAAGTGTCCACTTACAGGTCCATTTTATTAGCTTGAAAAACACTCAGTATCATTTATACTAAAAATAGAATGCATTTTATTTTGTGTGTGTGTGTGTATGTATGTGTGTGTGTGTGTGTATATACGCACATATATATCTTCTAATCTCCTCAGAATGAATTACTTAATTTCTGGGATGACAGAAAAGCTTGGAAAAGGTAATGATGCTGGGGAAAATAGAAGGAAAAGGGAAGAGGGGTCAACAAAGGGCAAGATGGAGGGATGTTATCCTTAAAGTGACTGGTTTGGCCTTGAAGGAGCTGGGGATGGTGATGGCCAACAGGGAGCTCTAGTGTAGGCTGGTCCATGAGGTCATGAAGAGTCAGAAGCAACTGAATGAATAAACAAAAAAAAAATCTCCTCACCAGTTAGATCCAGTACAGGTTTCTGGTGCAGAAATGCCACCAAAGTTCGTGTCACAACCCCCCCCCCCCCCCAGACACACAAAGGTGGAGAGATCATRGACACACTGCTTATAGTTACAAAGTAAATTGGATCCTATGTCACTTGGCTTTATAGTCTGATCTCAAGCAAAGAAGATAACTCACAGATTCAATTTTTCCTTATGCAAAATGTAATATCCCTGCCCACATTGCCACCCCAGTCAGCCAAATCCAAATTGGTACCATCATTTCTAAGAATACATTCATATTTTATGCAGCAGCTTCTCTGTTTAAGGGCATATGTGTTTCTTTGGTTAGGAAACACAAAAAATAAACCTAATTTATTTTCTGAAGTTAAATGCTATGTGCTTCCCAGTTTCAGAGCCAAGTTCGGGGGTCAAATGTGGTGCACTAATATCCTTTTTAAACTTTACTTTAGAGCCACGATATTACTGTAAAATGAGGGCTTCTTTTATAGATCATGATTATATTCTCAACAGTCCTGGCTCATTTTGTTTTGAGCTTAACCCCGGCACATGGAGGAATAAGAATCATTTTGAGGACAATGATGACAAATAAAAAAGAGGTCAAAATAAGGAGGGGAAATCACCTTGGTGATTTTTCTGTTCATATTGGCCTACCAAACACACACACACATCTCAGCAAAATTATGCATTTTTAAAAGACTGCAGGCATTCAAATGACTGTCAGTCATGCAAATAATCACTTACTTACACTGTATGAGTTTGGTTTGGATAAAGCAAATTACCATTTGAAAATAACTCGAAAAACACTCTGGGCAAAGAGCTTGCTTTATGAATCTAAGTTTGGCCATGATATTTCTTAACCTTTTTCTCCTCCATTTCCATTCAGCTAAATTTCACTAGAGTAATACAGACTAAATTAATAAACTGCATTCAATTGCCACAGGTGCATTCAACATTACTGTAACACAAAATCTTGTTAGGAACAAAAAATAGCTTCCAATGTCAGAAGAAGCGAAAAATGCACAATTGGCTTCATACATTGTTTTTGGTAAGAAGTCGATCTCTGTCATCTAGTATTGGTGTTTATTTTTATGCAGAATCAGCATGCATAATTGGTTTCCAAACACACCATTTTTTGGGTTGCTTTTAAAAGCAAGTAGCAGTATAAAATGCCTCAGACTTTTAAGTGCACACATAAATTTCATATTGAACTCCTAAACAAAAAGCCTTTGTGACAACTATTTCTTTTCATATATATATGAATGAGAAAGTTAATTGTGTGTTCTTTGGCAACACTGCATTCAATTTAAAAAGACTAATCCCCCCCCCCACCCCACCCAACAAAAAAAATAGTATCAAAATTAACTCTGGCAGCCCAAGCTCATGATGCTTTTTGCTACGCATGTTCTCGAAATAAATGTTTAGCAGTACATACATATGGCCAAAATTATCAGGCTTAGCTGCTCAAACATGAGTCTTCTTTCTATAAGCTTCAAAACTGCCTAAACACACCATAAGGCTAAGTGAACTTGCTACACTTCCAAAAATCTAATGCAGTCATTCCCAAATTCAGCAGCGGAATGGAGAGGCTGCTTTATATGAAGTCAGAATCTTACAGCACAGCCTTAAAAAAAAAAACCACTGCATATATACCCAATATAAAAAGGCAATCTAAATTATACAAACAAGACTCTAACAGCGCAGAATCACTGGGAGTATTTTTTTTTCTTTAAGGCTCTGACTGGTGCCAGTAAAGACATCAGTAAATGCCAGGTGAGCATCTTTAGGGAGATTACTACCAAGATTGGGCCTTTCCTCCACAATGACTTATTTCATCTTGGAAGATGGGACCAAGAGAAGAGACAGGACAAGGAGGAACATGAGGCGATAGAAGATCAATCTGTTAGGTTCTTCAAAGGAACCCAATAGTAAGTCTGACCAAATCTTCAGAATATGATAAGAAGTAAGAACTACTAGGAGGACTGGGAAAATTCATACTGCTCATAAATAGTCCTGCCTGAATAATATATTTTCTTCATTGTGTCACAGAACTTCTCAAAGGACATCTGTGGATGAAACCGATTGGTAATGAAGCAGAGACAACATGATGACAGAAATGCATGACGAAAGTCAAAAGTTTACTAACCTGCTCACATCAGGAAACCTCATTGGGAAGTAAAGGACTTGGCATTTTGGCCTGATTAGCTGTTCCAGATGCTTAGGTCTATGGTCAGGTATCCGCTTCATAAATGTTCCAATAGATGTTAGAAATGACTCCATATTATAAGCAGAGTTGAACACCACAATCTCAGCAACCAAGCTAATGAAAAAGAGAGTAAATTAATGTGTTATAAATAATAAATATAGCTTAATTGTTGCATGAAAAGGTGTTAGGGCAGAAGTGGCAAAAATGTGGCCATTTTTTTTCTTTTTGTCTACAAGTGCTCCAAAGCATCATATAGAGCAATGGTTCTCAACCTGTGGATCCCCAGATGTTTTTGCCTTCAACTCCCAGAAATCCTAACAGCTGGTAAACTGACTGGGATTTCTGGGAGTTGTAGGCCAAACTACCTGGGGACCCAGAGGTTGAGAACCACTGTTATCGACTCTAAAGGAGAGAAAATTCTGCCATGAGTTTGGCCACCTGGACTATTTTAGCACTAGAATAGGGTTTTTTTCCCCATTAAGGAAGCTAATTTTCTTTTTTCAAAACAGCTCTCTTCTGGGCCTAAAACCATCTAGAGATGCCAAAATTGTCACCTTATGCCCACTTGAAAGCGTTTGCTGGCAAAATTTAATACCATATTTGAATGTTATTTATGTTCTTCTACTGAGAAGTGTAGAAGTGGGTATGGCTGTAGCACAAGGAAAGCCCCTTCTAACTATGAGAGAGCTGTTTTTGAACTTAATGAAAGTACCTTCCATAAGAAATGCCCCTCCACTGAAAAAAGTGTATTTTCACAATGTTTTCACTACCGACCGTACGTTGACTCGTTATTCTTTGCATCACTACCACTTCTACAATGTAACACAATGTAACACAAACCCTGAAAACCATGAGGTCTTAGAACATAAATACATTTTATTTTCCACCCAACTTAGCCACGCCAATATTTTACATTCCCTTCCCTACTTGATCATACATGTAATTGTAATGTAGATTGCAACTAGCAGCCCTACATTACAAGTGGATAGCTGGGGCTTCAAGGATGACAACACAGCTCACTCACTGCAGTCATGACTAGACAGGGAGAATTGAATAGAGAATTTCACAAATCTCATTCTCTTCGACCACCAGGTTCCAAATTTTTATGATCATTAAAGAAACCATAAATAAGAAATTTAAAATATCAGTCTGGACAATTGTAATATGATTTCAGTGAACCATGTAGTAACTCATAGAGAAACCTTTTTTAAACAAATATACTGCTGGGAAAGTTTAAATGGCACTGTTAGCTGAGGATTATAAATATTTTTAATAGGACATTTGTTTTCAGTAATGAAAAACAAAATATGATGATCATAGACTGCTAAACCACACTAACATACATGCAAGACGGCAACGGAAATCAAGAAATACCTTTGTAGCACAATTGTCTCTTTATATATGCACTACTAATGATGCTCAGGCATGTTCCTGTCCTCTTCTTCCAATCCACACACATTCACTTCTACACAGATGCATTTGTGTCTTATGCAACAAAGCACATAGGCTCACAATCTCACATATACACATTTTTAGTGTCTTTGCCATGTTTCTCAGTTGCACCCCATGAAAAGTGGCTCCAGGGTTAAAAGCTATTCTCTCCCAACCTCCACCCTGGTGTGAGCTGCAGCCAGGCCATGCAGGTTGGGATGGGGCTACCAATACTGCACATCACCCAGAGCTTTGAGAAGTCATTTTTGCACTCTCCCTGTTGGTTGGAGGTCATGGAAAGTTGTAGTTGAAAAAAACGACCATTCTGCTCTCTTAGCTTGTCTTGCAATTCTTGCCATCATGTTCTTCTTCTCTATTTGTACATTTCCACCAGTTAGACTGCCTGCACAGGTTTAAAGACATTTTTTTCTCCTAATTGTCACTGCTTCATAGTCAAGAAAGAAAACTGACTCTGGCCCACAAAAACAAGTGTAGTCAGCAGGAAAAAGGCAAAGAAATATTTGAAGAGTGTTCTAATGCTTTTCAACATGACAACTGGAGTGGAACCATTTTCTGAAATCTTGTATTTTCCCAAACATATTATTTTTAACAACATGTTTTCTTTCAACTAAGACAACCAACGTGCTAACCTCTTTCTCTAATCGTTGAGAATAGATCAGAAAAGAAAAGTTGACATTCTTTGCTTCTGCAACAACTTAACAAGAGGCATCTTTCATCCATTTGTTTTCTTGTTTTCAGATTCTGCATTCTGTTGTCTACAGTTTGTATATGATTGGCAAAACACAAATCCTACAACTAAAGCTAAATAAATTAAAAGAATATATCAGATCTCTTTCAGAGAAGGGAAAACACATTCTATCTGATAAAAAAGCTTATTGCTGAAATTTCCTACACGATAGCATTCCTTATGCCATTTTATTCACTTATATCCCGCCTTTTCCCCATAGTGGGATTGAAGGTGGTCAACAACATATTCAAGATAATATAAATTAAAAATAATGCAAAATCAGCCTGAATCCTATAACTCCAGAGATGTAGTCAGGACAACGTGAGCTCATTAGGCTCACATTGCTGAATCCTTTTTTTTTTTTTTTTTTTTTTTTTGTAACCCATCATTCTCATTTGTGGGCCATTTACAATTATTTGGAGAAGACAGATAGACTCTCATTTCAGCTACAGAATATTGTAAGCCATATAATGCCCTGATCTATAGAGCTGAGAATCAAATATCTGATCTATGACAGTTATCCTTGTCATTCAACTTCATTATAAAAACAATGACATTTTCTGACTTCAAGACAGCTCTGATCTGTATAGGTTCAAAGGCAAGGATGACTCATTTTCCAATTGTGTGTGGGGTATAGAGGAGGGAGGACTCCAAAGTGGTGGGGTGAGGAGCCCTTCTCGTTTAAATCATGGGCCACCATCACTTGAACCTTGAGTAACAAATACCTTTCAGACCTACATCCAGTTACCACAATACAAGAGAAAAAGCAAAGCCTGTCTTTAGCGCAGAGACCACACTACTTCTGTGTGTGCCTCATGATATAGTTCTGCTACCAGAATTCTCACACAGTGCCAGTGTACTGTAGCTTGTATGTATTTTATTAGAACACCAAAGAAAAGGAAAAGGTGTTTAGGATACACACATTTTAAGTTAAGGAATAGGATGACTCTGAGCACATACTTCCAATCTAGGTACACATTTTAATGCATTTAATACATTTTAATGTGTGCCTGTTATTCTTCCACACAGAAATCCTCAGTTGCTCCATTGACAGAGAACTAACAGCAGATCCCACCTGGCTTTTCAGACCATCTATAGGAGGATGAGGAGACCCCACTCTTTCCTGCATTCTTTACCATATCTGATGAAGACAGAGTTTGCCCACCTATCCATGCATTTTCTTACTACGCACACAACTACAGCCAATCACTCCTACAAGACAAGGGGAGCAGGTGTGGTGTTTTTTATGGGCTCAAAATGCAAACTGCAAAGATGGATAGAGTGAAATCACTGGTAAAGGTGTCATTATGCGAGAGATAATAAGGAAAAGGATAGTATTTCCCAAAGTAACAGAGGCCTGAGGGGGGAGGGGGGTTCTAAAGCTTCACAATATACGTATTTCTTCCAGCAGTAATGATGAGGAGGATTTTATACAGGCGGCTGTTTGTTTTTAAGAACCATTTTAAGGCAAAGCCATTTCATTATATTTTCAGAATATTGCTGCTGCAAAACTGAAACATTTTGCAAACGGAAGCAGAATGGGAGCTACCAAAAAAGTGCAACTCTATTGGATCATTATTTGTCTTTCATCCAAGTTACAATGCAAAGATGCAGATGTTATACATCTAGCTTTAAAACGCTCAATCTATGCTTATAATAATTCTGCTAATAACAAATGTGTGAAATAGGACAAGTAAATGAATGTATTTCCATTCAAGCCAATTCAGCTTTGCAGTTTCACTTTTGGTTTGTATAACGCCTAATCACAAAGCTTTTCAAGTGTAGCTGTTATTAACTTCTTTCATTAACTTATATTCAGGAAATATGGTTGTTTTAAGTAACAATAAAGGGCCACAGCCTTTTAAATGTCTGGGTGTTTTACCACTGCAAAATTTGTGAACATGCAATGAAAGAAACATAAGGATTTATCTGGTATGTTTACTAGCCTCTCTCCCTAAAAAACACTGCTGCAGTACATTTTAATTTTTGTTTACTCCCTTGAAAACCTCTATTTTAATTTCAGCTGGATGCAATAAAAGCTATTGCTCAGCCAGCGTTGATTAACTGCCCCTTTGTTAAGTGCTTTCAAAGCAAAACCATCTTGTGTGTATTACGAATGAGGTATATACTGAAAATTAGTGCAATTTACTGGAGTACAACGAGCTGCTCATAATAGCATCTAGGTATACTTCTCATTTGACAACCTGTATATACTAAGGAACTTCAGGGTGGTACTTTCCTGCTGAATTGGGTGGAAACGCTGGCAAGCGTATAGGGTGCCACATTTACTTTTATTTTAAGAAGAAAGAAAAACCCTCAAGGCAGGAGCATAAAAGGGAGTAGAAAACAATTAAACGTGTTGAGGACGTGCGAGATGCACCTACCATGAAAGAATCTGGTTGTATCCATACTGGAAGTCTCTTTCCAGACACCTCTGGACAGGATATGTCAATTGGTTCTCATGGAAGTAAAGGACCTTTTTCAATTTGCCAAGGTCAGGCCGAAGGGCAACAAGTTCAGTCAGGTTAAGCACCGAGCTTGCAAAGAGGATCCTAAGAAACAAGGAAAGTAGTGTTTACTGTCTGCGAGCCTGCTCAAAAGTGTCACCCTTCACCCCTTCCCTCCCACCACTCTCCCCACAAGAAAAACATAACCTCTACGGGGACACATCAGTGGGTAAGCCTTAATACCATGTAGCAGCATTCGAAGTTTTGATCTCTTAAAAAACAGCTAAGGACTCGAGTAGAAAAGCAATGAATCTCATTGGTTTTCCTCCGCTCAGTTACAGAGAGATGCAAAGTTTTTTTTAAGGGGGGCGAGGGAGAAAGAAAAGACAAGAAAAAGAGCTAGATGGGTTTTATTGAAAAATGCAAGAAAAGCTGTGTCTGAAGGACAAATGGAACAAAGATAAGGCTGACTGGGGAATACTTTGCTTGCCAGTTTCATTACACTTTACTTCTTTATGCAACCAACTACTGAAATTCAATATACGAGCCAGTATGGCACATGCTCATGTTATGACATAAAACCTTTTGATTTATGCAATAGGCACATCTAGTGTGGTTTTTATTTTTCATGTTCAGATTTCCTTTTCCTATTTTCATTCTCTCTCCACCAAAGCCTTTGTTGTTCTGTTCATTGTAGGCTATCTTATTACCATGATACTAGGAACTGTTGGTAATGCTGGTCACCTCTTTTAAATTATACAACACAGGTGCAAATACCATGGGGACAGTAAAACCTCCATCTTGAAAGAGACTTCAAAGGGCAATTCAGGTATATAAAGTCGTACTTAGGGATAGATTCTGCCACTTCTTCAGCTATGAAGATATACTAGGAGGCAGCACACTTACTTCAATTTGGTTTCCTTTAGAAGACGTTAACTTGAATCTTATGGTGTCGTTCATTACTGAATGCATGCGTAAGTGGAAACACAGCTTGCCCCACATCAAATTTCTAGAAAGTGGCAGCCAATACCCCAAGAGACTATTAGAAGTTGAAGCACCGTTCTCACATTCTCTGTTTTATTATTTGACTCTCAAAAGATATAGCCTGTCTATTGTGTTCATTACCAACAGGCAACGCACAAAGATTGAGAACTCATCCAGACAGGTCCCAAGCCACTTTTCCCAATCTTTTTACCCTGGAGGATCTATTGAAATAATTTTCAAGATATAGAATGTTATTATATCTACAGTTCCAATCACAACTTCTCAAAGAACCTGAGGTTTCCAGGGAACTCTGAGTGAGAAATCCTGGTCTAAAGAGTTACTTTTGAGATATACCAGTTTTGTTATTTCTTGCCAATTCAATGTTCACTCATTCCACTCATTCTGGAGCTTGTGAGTAGCAATTTCTTGGATATGCACTAGGACTTTCCCAAATGGTTAAAATAAACCCAAATGTAGTTTTGCACAGTGTTTTTTCCAAAATGTTTGGGATTTGAATTTTTTCAGATATAAGATACTAACTGCACCTGCCACGCGTTGCTGTGGCCAACCTTCCCTCCTTCTCTCTTCTTTTCTTTCTCTCCTTCCTTCCCTCCCTCTTTCCTTCCTTCCTTCCTTGCCTTTTTTTGCCTTTTTTTTCTTTCATTCTCTCCTTCCTTCTCTTCCTCTTCCCTTCCTCCCCTCTTTTCTTTCTCTTCCTCTTTCTCCCCTTCTTCCTTCTCTACCTATTCTTGGACTGCAATTCCCAGCAGTCCTCCTGATCAATCTACCTATCTATCTATATCTAATCTATCCATCTATCTTATCTATCTGGAGGATTGCTGGGAGTTGCAGTCCAGGAATGGGAAATTGGAAATATGCAGGGATTGGGATGCTCTGAAAGAAATCCAAGGAGATAAAAGATTGCAGCTTGGAAGCAATGTATTTGAATAATCCTCCTCTCCTAAAGGAATTTACAGAAACCACTCCAGGACAACAGAAACACTGATTTGGAAAAAAAAAAACCCTCAATAATGACACCAACCAATACTGCAATTTCCCAATATTTTACCCTGTCTGGGAGAACCCCTAACTTACATCAGACTTCATTTGAGGAGTGAAATAGGTCTCCAACAGCCTTCTCTGACAACTTTTTTTTCAAAAGATTAGCTTCCATGGAGATGCATCACTAAAATATCTCAAGTTACAGACACATCAAGTCCAAGATAATTATCAATTAATGCCTGCAATAAGTTTAAATCACAGTAAACTGACAGCCATAACATTCTCACAACATCACCGCTCACTTTGGTAATGTATAGTAAGATGTCTGGTGTCACCAGGGAGTATAAATATGAGTCAATTTTCCTCTTCTTCTTCTTCATTTATTAATTTATTATACTAAAGGCATACTAACACAGTATAGGCTTCCCTTTAAATCCACTTCACATATTCATCATGACTCAATAATCTTATATCTAGTACAAGCTGCACTAGAATGACAACTGGGGGAGGAGGTTGCCACATGTTCTACTAACATCTTCCCCAGACTTTTCCTTACATGTTTCTTTACTGGGCTGCATGTTAGGCAGAAAGACAACAGAGACTTGGCTGCACCAATGTTTTTTTTCTCTCTCTTGGCAATGCAGCTCAGAAGGTCCTTTTCTCATATTTTATTTTCTTCCTTCCCCTACACAAAAGTAAGTTCTTATGCTGGGTTGAGGAATTTTGGGAACCTTTGGTGCACCAAAACACCCACAGTGTCTTATCATTGTTTGTATTGGTGGTACACTAATGGTATTTGTAGACTGAAATACGCAAACAGCCAAAGTTATACCCATCTATGGATCTTTTTTCCAGACCACGAAGATATACTAAAAGAGGTAAATATGAATAGGGATAGAAACAACTTACTTATGCATTTCCTCACTCTTGCATACTGATCTACAGTGTGATCTTGGTATACACTAAGGTTTAGTTTCAGGACCCCCTGTGGATACCAAAACTCATGGATTTTCATATACCAATTATGTACAATGGTGTCATAAAATCACAAAATCATTGTTTGCTTTTCATATTTTTTTTTGAAGCCAAGGATGGGAATAACTGCAATAGAATCAGTGAGAAAAGTATTCAAGCTGTGTGCAGCTTCCTCTCCAAAGACAATAAGCACTATAGGCAGATTTGATACAATGGAAGAAACAACCAGAAATCCCCATTGTTTTATTTTTCCTCCTGGGGTGGACCCACTTCATTCACTTATACTGCGCCCATTACGGCTAAGACAAAAGACTACTATTTAATGGAACCTACATGATATTTCATGACGAGTGATCATTCTTCTGTTTTCTTTCCCCTGCAGATGAATTTATCAATAGCATAGCGACAGCAGATGTAAAAATCCAATGTAAAAATCTTATGACATTTCACTGCTATATTTATATTGTTTTTATTTATTTATTGTATCTGTCCCCCGCTGTAGAGTTGGAAAGGTTCTCAGTGAGGCCGACATATCAGTCCCTGACTTCAGCCTTAAAATAACAAAAACAATAATAACAACAACAAGGTGTGTCACAGAAGTAAAATGAGAGGGGAAAGGAAAACAAGAACATTTAGGCACGAGCTCTTAATATAACGAAAGTCTATAGCTGATGGAATGGCTGTTGGATGACAGATGGAGAGAGGCAAAGCCCAAAGGAACTGGCTTCCCAGGAGACATCATGGTGCTTAAATTGCTAGATCTCTTTTCGGTTTACCTTACCTCTTACGGGAACTCTGGAAAACTAAATATTTGTGCTTTTATTTTTCCCACATGAGCGATCGTATATTCGTTCACAATGGCTCCTGTTGTGACATTACAAAAGGGCACCTAGATCTACTTCCCGCTGCTCCAGAGCTCCAACGACATCTGACAGTAGACACCTGAACATGGGCTCACAAAGGGACTGCGTATTTCTCTAATAGACTCTCATGCAGGGCACTGGGGGATCGGATGAAGAGTTCTTCCACTTAACACCTCATGCCAAGAAAAGGGAAAAGGAAGTTTATTATTATAATGTAACTCATGACATAAATATATGTCAGCTGTCATTCCATGTGACATCAGCTTTCATTTTTCCTCAGGTTATTATTTCAGTAATAAATCCTAACAAGGTGGGCTTTATCGTCCCACAGAGTCTACGCAGGAGGTAAGGACACAAGGTGATACCAAGAATGCAGGAAACATGATAATTCCCGACAGCTGCTGCTTGAGCGCAAGTTAAATTGAACAGTTTGTCTCAGCATAAAGATGCTATAAGGTTTTACGCTTAATTTTTTTTAAATTAACATAAAACCCAGAGAAAGCCTAGTTAGGCAATCTTTTACAAACATGACATACTACAATCACTGCATAAGCTGGATTAGTACGTATTACCATGCTACTGGAGAATTAAGCTGTTTTTAGACCACCAAAGAGCTTTAAATTGCAACTTTTGTCTCTGTAAGGGAAACCTATATTTAAACTGTCTGCTAAAGTCAAATTAAAACAGCTACATCATTAGCATGTTATCTCACAAAATAAAAGTACAGTTAAACTGCTGTTAACATTACTCTTACCCAACCTGATCAATGGGGCAACAATATATGCATGGTAATATGCTGTTCTTTTCTATACCGCACAGGCAAAGCACATATAAGAAAAAGGGAACGCACAAAAAACAACCACCAACAATACTTATTAGGCAATCATCTGTTCTAAATAATCAACACAAAATGATGCCAACTATTTTACAATTGTGTAGTCAGCCACATGCTCTCTCAGTACAACCAAAATTTGCCCATAATTGGAACAAATAGAATGATCCAAACTCATATGCGAGTGAATAGGCTGTTTCAGACTTTCATACCCATTAGGCACATGTGTAATATATTAGATACACATAAATCTACATACATATTTGCCAGTCCTTTGGTCTGCTGAATGTAAACTTGAAAATAGCTCGGTATTTAGGTTGACTGATGCCCCAAATTTGCCAGTTGATTGGTAAACGTGATTTTGGGTGGCCCAATCCTATGCACTGGCTTTAGGATTACTAGTCTCAGAACAAAATTCCATAGCTGTAACTAAAAGCCTAATCGAATTC